TTTTCGTTCAATTTCGCCCATACCCCCCAATCCAAAAAGTTCATCTTTTTCATTCTTTTTTGTGTGGGGGGGTGGGGCCGGGGATGCGCCGCCACGTGGCGTCTCCCGATCGCACAAAGATGCTCCCGCGCGGCCGCCACGTGGCGTCAAAGCCGCGCGTCCGCGGGGTTTGCGGACTGGCAGCGTCCGCGGATTCGTCCGCGGATGGCCGCCGCCGGGGGGTATTCATAGCCCACAGGTCCTGAATTCGTTGTCGAAACCATCATCGTCCGACGAACCACTCAGGTATCTGTTCATCCGGAACCAATCACTGAATACAAAGTCAAATGGACCGGATACCCCGACGAAGAATCTACATGGGAACCTCTCTTTAATCTTAAGAACGCCATGAAACTTGTCCACGCCTATTATCGTGCTAATCCTACGTCCTAGATACCTATATCACTAAACCCCCGCTAAACCCTTCCAACCCTGCTCTACACACACCCTTGAACCACCCTTCCCTTGATCCTCATTCCTAATGTTTGATCTGCCTTGCCCTCGCCTAGCCTTGTCCCATTTGTCCTCTCCACTACCTTGTCTCTTTCGTCCAATGCTTGTGAACTTCCGTGACGCCGGCGATAAAGGATCTAATGGCAAGCGCATGAGGACGATGGCCTGCTGCCTCACTCTATGTAACACCCGCGGACGCTTCCGCGGGGTCGAGCTCGGATCTCGGACCCAAATGCGTCCGCATCCGCGGCCTACCTGGTCCGCACCGCGGACCCGATTTTACACGAATTTTCCTGAATAAAATAATAGGTAAAAAAAAAAAACAAATAGGGTTGTAGGGAATTTTAAGCCCTACAACCCGATTTTTTTTTTTTTGAATCCGACTTTGTTTAGGATTTTTAAAAAATCAAAAACGAAATTGGATTTAAAGAAAATTAAAAAAACAAATATAAAGAAAAACAGGAATTTTTTTTGGTAATTTTATCATGAGATATATGGTCCGTAAGTTTACCTGTAATATTTTAGAAATGAATTTATGTTTTTTGCAGAAGTATGAGGTGTTTT